GTGCTAAAAACCTTTCCTCCAAGTGCTTATAAACGTGTTAGATTGACAGCACTGTGCATTGCAATATGGTCTAATTGACCCAAAGTGCAGAACATTCCATTCCTACTCTGATTTATGCTGTGCAGAAGGGTGATATAAAGAAGGTTTGCAGACAATTTTATTAGCAGTGTTTGAAAATATACTTTTTGGATACATAACTCCACTAAATGTTCTTTTCTTTTACTAGATGTACTGAGGTTCTTCTAAAGAAGTATTCTTTAAAGCAATGAAAAGAGTTATGTATAAGGTGGGGTAACTTATAGTTGCTAATATGGTTTTACTGTAATGGTGATGTATATAGTGGGGTAACTTATAGTAGGTAATAGGGTTTCACTGTAATGGTAATGTATATAGTGGGGTAACCTAAAGTAGCTAATAGGGCTTCACTGTAATGGTAATGTATATAGTGGGGTAACTTACACTGAGTGGCCAGATAATTATGACCACCCCATCAGTACTTCGTTGGGCCACGAGATAACTCCACAAGATGACTTTGTTGGGCCGCCTCGTGACTCCATGAGATGTTGAAAGGTGATGCGAGGAATCTGACACTGCACTGTTGCCCTTCTGTTGTCTTGTACCAGTCTTGCCACTCTCCGTTCTGCCCTAACATTGACTAGTCGCTGACGGCTACAATTTGCACGTTTAGACCCAGATTTTCGGCTAACAGTCCAGTCCACACTTTAACAATGAGCCCCTCTTGAACATTTAACGAATTCTGATGTTTTGCTGATACCCGTTCCATGGCTCCGAGCACCAATAATCATCCCACGTTCAAAGGCTGTTAAATCGCGTTGTTTACCCATATCTACAGAAAAAATCACTTCTACTGTCCAGGTAAACAACCTGCTTCCCTATTTGTAATGGTCTGGCACTCTAGCAACTTCAGCGTGAAATTATAGCTAATTATAGCTAATTTGCCTACAAACGTCAGGTGATCATAATAAACTGGCCACTCAGTGTATAGTTGCTAGTAGGGCTTCACTGTAATGGTAATGTATATAGGGGGTAACTTATAGTCGCTAATAGGGCTTCACTGTAATGGTAATGTATACTGTATAGGGGGTAACTTATAGTAGCTAATAGGGTTTCACTGTAATGGTAATGTATATAGTGGGGTAACTTATAGTAGCCAATAGATCTTCACTATAATGGTAATGTATATAGGGGTAACTTATAGTCACTAATAGGGCTTCACTGTAATGGTAATGTTTATAGGGGGTAACTTATAGTCGCTAATAGGGCTTCACTGTAATGGTAATGTATACTGTATAGGGGGTAACTTATAGTAGCTAATAGGGTTTCACTGTAATGGTAATGTATATAGTGGGGTAACTTATAGTAGCCAATAGATCTTCACTATAATGGTAATGTATATAGGGGTAACTTATAGTAGCTAATAGGGTTTCATTGTAATGGTAATGTATATAGTCGGGTAACATATACTAGCTAATAGGGTTTCACAGTAATAGTAATGTATATAGTGGGGTAACGTATAGTAGCTAATAGGTTTTCACAGTAATGGTAAAGTATATAGTGGGGTAACTTATAGTTGCTTAGAAGGTTATACTTTAAAGCCCAATTGAAGTCAGAGAAATAGATATGGCATCAGATAGGTATTGTACTTAAAACCTCCATTTTCACAATGTTTCCTCCACTTGAATGTTACAGCACTTGTGCAGGGTATCTAAATATAACTGTGCAGTCGAATAGGTACCAAAAAAATACCCACTGCACTCAGTAATAAACCTGGTTTAACATGCTTCCTCCCCTTCTCAGCAGTATAAGTCAGCGTGTGGACATTCATGCTGAGAGGTGTGGCTGTTACTCAGCTCTGCCAGCACAAACTACTGCAGTGTGAAGGATGGAAGCAGCATTTTAACTGAGAAAAAATATATATATTTAAAGCATTTTCGAGCAAAAATCAGTCAGAAATCCTAACATGTAGAGTAAGAGGAGCATAAGGAGATAAAAGAGTGTGGGAATTTAACTTGGCTTTAATAAGGTCAGATCAGTGTAGGATGAAGTACAGTTCATTGCTTTGGGTTACTGCACTTTGTGGTTGTTTTATGGTAGAATTCTTATTAGCTTTGAGGTTTTCATTTTCATTTTGTAATAGAATCTAGTAGCCATTGATAACCCTTCCTGTACTACAAGCTTTGGCTTAGGTCTGCCTTTTTCACCCCAGGTAGAAGCAGATTGACATTCCTGTGTGCTGACATTATGCTGCAACGAAGACTAACTCCGAGCTCATTCCAGCAAGAAATCTCACAGTGCAAGGATAAATCACCTACAAATTAATTCTTCTGCCACAGGACAAGTAAGTTTTTTTGCTGTACACTTTGTGCTCTCCGGCTGTAGCACAATTGTATCAGGTCTTATCACACAGGCCTGTCTCTACAGATCCCCCTTTATCTATAAGCACAATATTAAACTTGAAATAAAAATGATTAATATCACAGAGCCCGGTGTTTCTGCTCTCCGCTAGGGACAAAGCATCGCTCTTATTTCCTTTTGGTATGACCATCTGCTTTAGGAATGAATACTTGGTCCTATGCTGTACATCTAAGGAAGAATGTATTAATATGGAGCGATTTGTTACAAAACAAGCATCACTGCTCCCGCCTACAGTCAACATTGACTGTCCAACATCCAAAACTGATAATTGTGTTTAGACTTGCTGTTAGAAAGGTTATTTAAAACACGTTTATGTCTCTTAAAGGTACAAGTGGTGGAACACCTCCACCACAATTCCACCTTCAGCCCCATAGACATGATCACTACAAAACCAAATGATGGACAAAAAAAAAGAGCTGCTCAGAGGAGCCAGTCACATGACCTGTCAAAGCCATGTGACTTGTCTCCCCTCCTACCATGTTTCCCCGAAAATAAGACACTGTCTTATATTTTTTTTGTCCCAAAAAAACCCACTTGGTCTTATTTTCAGGGGATGTCTTATTTTTTTTTTTTAATGCTGATCCCTTTCTTTCACTTTCACAGGCGGAGTGCATCTGGTATCACTCCGCCTGTCACAGTAACCGGCGCTATAGAGGAAGTATCGGCTAATCCGGCTGTGCTCCCTCCGCTGCCACAGCCTTGCTTTCTACAGCGCTGGCTTCCTTTGCCAGCAGAGACAGCGGTGCCAGCAGTGCCGCAGTGGGGACCTCAGACAATGGACAGAGCAGTAAAGTAGGTACCATTTACCGGTACACATTACAGTACAGTACAGTACAGTACCATTACATTAAGCAGTGCCTTCAGGGGGACACCAGTTGGTGAAGTATGGTACTGGAGTGCTCCCTGTCACTGCGCTGGCCGGAGGGAGTCCCCTGTCATCCCCTTAATACAGTATGTCCCTGCAGGCTAATACCATTTTTCCTGCTCTTCAAGTTCCCCCTCACATGCTACCACCAAACTAGGTCTTATTTTCGAGGTAGGTCTTATATTACAGGAATCTTGAAAAAATAGTGCTAGGTCTTACTTTCATGGTAGGTCTTATTTTCGGGGAAACACGGTATTATGCAGTGGTTTCCGCAGCGTTATGCAGAGAACACTCTGAAGGACACTGCAGGCTCCACACCATGGCCTTCATTTTACAATTTACTTTAAAACGCCAGCGTGGAGTGGAGTACACAATGTGGTGTCCATTACCAGCGGCAGCCACTTGAGGGAGTGAGTTGATTCACCTTCTTGACTGGGAGGATTTGCTTTAGGACTTGTGTAAATGAGCAAATGTAGCATGCTTTTAGGTGCATTCTGCTTACATTTGAGTTCATGCTAAGTTGGTCCTGACCTGCTTGTTGTTGTCTTTTGGGTTGCTTTAAGCTGATTTTCCATTTCCTTCAAATTTTTGAAAAGAACAAATCCTGTATACTGTAGATGGTTGGCCATTTGGAGGAAAGTCATGGGTTGGGAATGGGAATAAAAGGGTTGTAGTCAAGTAACTATCAGGAGGAGAATAGGAGTAAGCACAGTTAAAGCAGTGGGTGGGTGGTAGTTTGGGTGTCTTTAGTACAGGTAATACACAGGCTACCAAATTTCTTGATGGTAATGTCAGGATCAGCTAACAACTGTGATGATGTATGATTTTTTGTGTATTATTGTAGGAAGTTAGACAACAGCGATTCCTGGGAGCATAAAGTAGATGCATCTATGCTGCTGATCTCTGCAGTCTACATGCACTCACTTCAGCATTGGCTGCACAGGACCTGCTTACCGATAGTGTCAATGGAGGAATATACCTGTGCAATGTGTGCTGTGACAGCCACCCATAGTCTTCACTAGGGATGAGCATGAAAGGGGGACAATGCAGGGTCACAACTGGTAGACAGTTGTCACCGAACAGGAAGTTCTTGAACAAGGACCTTCATGGCAGGATCATCAAGTATTATTTTGATAAAAAATGTTTAAAAATAGAAACATCTTTTGATATTACATGAGCATGATAAAGCTTACAGCTTGGACTTGGATCCACTTTAGCCCTTACACTGTTTTTCTGCCTTTTGTACTCAGGGTAGGATGAAAAGAGAGGAATTCCATTCAACAAAACCTGAATAGAGTTGTGGCTGCTAGGTTTTTGAAAAGTTTGCCTAGTGTGACACTGTGTAAATGGAAGTATTTATAGTTTCAGGTTAGCTCAGTACTAACCATATACGCCTATACACACACACAAAAGAATAATGTGTGTTAACTTCACTGATACCGCACAGCATGGTATACGAGTTACACTGCTTACATAAAGTTAGGTTTTTAACCGCATCACTGGGGAGCGAAGACTTCATTTCATTTTTATCAGGTTAGAAGAGTCAGCAGGAATGAAAGCTCAATTCCCTCTGTGCGGAGCTCAGAATATTTTGCATCACGAATTTGTAAATGGGAAACGAGGGAGACATAGAGGAGCATGACAAATGCTACAATGTAAGAAAACTGTACAGAAGAAAGAGATTAAAGATGAAATTTACCTCCTGCCATGTTAAGAACTGAATCAAAAGCTGGGCGTACTTCTTTCCCGAGATGTTCATGAACACGTTCACCCAGTAATGGCCCGACATCTGGAGAGGTAATAGCCATATATTAGTATGTTAGCTGGTAGTTATTAATTCATGGGCTGGACCAGAGTTTCTCAACCTTTATTCAGTCATAGCACCCTGTAAAAGTAATTAAGGCACCCAAGTCTAAAATGTAAAAAAAATAATCTATTAACAAAATGTTGTCTCCCCCAAAATCCATACCAGACCCTATCTCCTTTATCTCTTCACTTTAGAAGCAGCCCCTTATCACAGTGGCATCACAAGGGAGGTGCGGGGAGTGCGGCCTGCACCGAGTGACACCATCAGAGGGAGTGATGCCAAAATGACTGACAGTTATTTTGATGTCGCCCCCCTCTGAAAGTTGATCACTCAGTCATGGACCGACAGCCCAACAGCTGCATGAGAGAGGAGGGGACCCAGCGGTATACTCATGCTGTCTACATTCCACAAGTGCAAAACCGGACTGAAAACTGCTATAACACACTTTGGCGTTGCTTTACTAACCTTATAAACACGCCACGAACAAGTATACACCTCTGTAGTGTGTTCCCTCCCAGCATGATCTATTGGTGGAATCTAAACACCTTTGTAGTGTGTACACACCCAGCAGGTGTGTTGTGCAAAGCCCTGCATGAATTGCAAGGTGATGTTGTGTAAATTAGCTCTACATTGTGTTGCTTGCGTTGATGAATGCAGGAATGTAAATGCATGAGCTAACCATTTTTGTCTAAACTGTGAAGCAGCATTATATATGCATCATGTGCATGATTTTTCCATATATGGCATTAGTGGAAATATGCTTTTAGAGACTTTTTGGTTAATAAATACATTTTGCTGTGTAAAAATCACACGCACCTAGTGCGTGCGTGTGTTTAGGTTAGTAAATCACCCCCTCTGTGTCAATTTCTATCAGGACAGGAAATCATGAAATGGGAACACAGATAAACAGTGGCGTAACAATCACCATAGCGACCCAGGCGGCCGCTATGGGGCCCGAGGCAGGGCGGGGCCCGGCCAGGACATCTCCCTGATGCCATGCGGGCCGCCTGGGTCGCTATGGCATCTTGCTCGGACAGCCAGGCTGCTGGCTGATAGGCGGGGCCCGTCAATTGAGGGGCAGGGCCTGGTGATCGAGGAGGCGGGGCCCATTGACGGAGGAGTCGATTGTGGAGGAGAAGGAGGCGAACAGAGGATCAGGGCTGACAGGTAAGAGGGCTTGACCGCCCGCCTGAGACCCTGCAGAGCCTACCGTAGAGAGGAGGCGGACAGAGGATCAGGGCTGAAAGGTAAGAGGGCTTGACCGCCCGCCTGAGACCCTGCAGAGCCTACCGTAGAGGGTCACCCTTAGGTAGGCTGTTTGGGTTATCAGGTGGGCGTAACTAGAAATCACAGGGCCCCATACAAAATTTTGCTATGGGGCCCTGTGATTTCTAGTTACGCCCCTGCAGATAAAAGAAAATATTTTTAGTAAGGCAAGGAAGGGTTACAACGTCCGACAATGTTTTTATCGATGTCTGTACTTTCCTATGCCAGTGATGGCTGTGCTCCCCTTTTCTTTTCAAGGTGGCACAGGAACAGTAAGTGAGGGAAATTCTTTCTAGTAAGGTAGATGGAGATGGGATTAAAACCCTGCCCAAAAACTGAACTCTTCTACCCTATATCCTAAGACAAAAAGAATTCAAGCTTCATAGGGCTAGATATCCCTCTGCTCCACATCTTACTGTGTATGCTCAGGCTTGAAGGGAACCTGTTCTGAGCACATGTAGGCACCCATTGCTGTCCTCTCCTTCTAATATATACATATCTGATCTCACATGTTTTTCCTAGGACAATGACTCAAATTACTGCCAAACCTAACCAGGTAGGCAGCATTTCGCGAAGGGGTCCTCGGTAGCAGGCTGTACATTCCTCTCAGTGTAAGTGCCATTTAGGAGTCAGTGCACCCCCAACTGGTAGTAAAAAGGTGGGCACCCAAGTTTGTATTTTTATAGATAATTAAACATATGCTTTGGTTGGTTGTATTAAGGGATTTGAAGGTTCCTAATTTTAAAATAATATTCTATTTTTGTTTTATTTTTAATAATAAAGTAAACCTGCAAGAACATCAATATACAGACTCACGGACTGTACTTACTATTGAGCTCTGATAGGGCTTTTTCCTTGGTGGAGTTGAACTTGGTCAATAAATAGTCAATTTGCTGACAAAAAATAAAAACATTATTGTTAATAGTAAAAAGCACAGGTTAAATGCAAGCTATGGATGTGTCATGGAATTATAATTATACTTTACATGTTTCTTTTTTCATTCTTTACAGATACACATTTATGAAACCACCGTGTATATGGCTGCAATATAGAGTGTGGAACCTCTTCTAAGGTTTTTAAGCTCCCTGTTTGGGTCCCTGCTGAGGAGATTCATCTTCTCTGTGTGTCCTGTGACCACTGACATCAGGATAAAAAAGTGATGGAAACCCAAAAATTTACAGTTGTCACCAGGACAGGAATAGGTGGGATTCTTCTAATGGGGCAAATGTTTTGGAGATAGCTGTCTAAGAAGTGATATACCCTTTATTTAAAGAGAGTTACTGTTACTTTCTGTTCTGTCTGTAGGATAGAGAGTGAAGGGAAACCTCCCCAATGGGACACAGGCAACAGGAACAAACATGAGAGGCATTTTAACCTTCCTATACCTAATACAAAATGAAAAAAAAAAATAGTTTTTAATTTGAATACACCTTTCTCATGTCAAAGAAGGCACATTGGCATAGGTTTCCAGCTCTTTTAAAGGAGAACTATGGGGTTAAGGCTTTTCCCCATAGTTCTCCTTAGGGTAACGGGAGGACACAAACTAGCGTCCTCCCGTCACCCTAAGCTCAGTACTGAGACGCCGCAGTATACCGCGAGCTGCTACTCGCGCTATACTAAGACGCCGCAGCTGAAGCGGATCCCGACAATTATGTCTGGATCCGCCCAGCTGCGTGACTATCTAGGGGCAGAGCCAGCTGTACACGCCCCCTCCCCCGTCCGTTCCGCCAGTCAGCGCTGGCGGAGCGGGGAATCCAGCCCCTCCCTTGTCACGACAGAGAGCAGTGACAGGATCGAGAGGTGAGCGAACGCCGGTATGTGTTCGCTCACCTCCCGATCTACTGAGCCGACCTGTGACAATTTCATTGTCACAGGTCGGCTAGAACTATGAGGGGAGTGAAAAGCACTCACCTCAAAGTTCTCCTTTAATGTACTATTAGAAGGCACAGGGGTTGCAATTTAGAGTAAACCTTGCATACAAAATATGAGTTTATAATTTTTGACCTCCACCGGACTGCTATGCTCCTCTCGCCTGAAGACACTCTGATTCACTAACCTGGCATTGCGGATTGGAATAGTCATAGAAAAGAGTGCTTATCAACATATCTGGGTTTGTGACTCATGTACTGAGGAAAGAGGATCATCATGACAGTCAGGCAACTAGAATTTTAAGAGTATTTTACAATGGTAGTCTCCTTGTTTTTCTCATGACAAGTTTACATTAAAATCATTTTTTGATAATAAATATATCATGACTACTGGCTGTCTATACAATACCCTCTGAACTAATGTTGTTTTTTTTTAGGGGTTAAAAAAATAAAATAATTTGTGTCTGTCCCTTCCATGCAGCAACATGAAATTGTGATATCTGTGGAATCAGTAATATTCAAGAAAAGTAAAATGTCAGTGACATCTGCTGGTAATTGGTAGACCTGCAATTCATAAATGACTGATATTGAGGGACCCTTTCAGTTCGCTTTTGATGGTACTTTGTTATGGTGCTTGGCATGAGGATTCCACTACATGAGGTTTACACCACATAACGGTTCTCTCTAGTAACATTATAGTAATTACCAGTTTCTTCTACTTGTTGCCAAATTCCTCCTGCTGCACCCACAGAATTACCACTGAATCACGGGGTTCACCATCAACATGATTGACAGCCTGGCCCCAACTTCAGGATGTCATTCAGTCTGTAAATCCCAAAAAGCTGAACTCTGATGCCATAACTCTTATAAAAACATCTTAATTGACTCCAACAAGATACTGTTCAGTCCCTTTCAAGATCTACTCCGTTCTAACATGTTTCACTACAAACAGGCTTAATCGTGGAGAGTACAGTTGGGGGGTTTGATTGTTAGTATGCAGAAGCACAGGTTAGAGACTCTGTTATTACTAGCAGGCATATGACAGCAGTTTTTCTAAGAAAGTACAGTATGGAATAGCTTATTTTAAAGTACACCTGCATACACAGAAGGCATGAAAGATGTCATTGCTGGTTGTGTCTGAATTCAGTACTTCAGAATCACAAGCCTGGAACAAGCTTGCCACAAAGGCCCATGTCTGGGACTTGGAAAGCATTGCATTTAAAACCTCAGCATTACAGTCAGGCACCAGTCATTGCAGAAGGAGAGGTCACCAATGGCAGCCTTCATACCGTGTTTCCCCGAAAATAAGACACTGTCTTATAATTTTTTTGGCTCAAAAAAATACACTAGGTCTCATTTTCGGGGTAGTCTTATTATTATTTTCACACTTATTCATGTACAACAGTCTACATGTATTCATGTAGAAAAAAATGGTGATCAGGGCAATCAGGGGTGCCGTACCTTTCCAAGAGTAATTTGGTAACCAATCGCTGGCCAGAATGAGCAGAGCGCACTTTCACTATCGATTCCTCACAGGCGGAGTGCATTTGCAATCACTCCACCTGTGACAGGAGTCGGCGCTATAGAGGAGGCATCGGCTTATGCAGCTCTGCTCCCTCCGGTGCCGCCTCGCTTCCTCTAGCGCTGGCTTTATTGGCACCGCTGATTCTCTCACGCGACTTTTCAAGTTCCCCCTTATGCCACCACCGGCCCTGGGAATGGTCACAACTAGGTCTTATTTTTGGGGTAGGTCTTATATTTTAGCAATTCCCCAAAATAGTACTAGGTGTTATTTTCGGGGTAGGTCTTATTTTCGTGGAAACAGGGTAATTCTCTAATGACAGGTGTTCTTTAAGTGAGTTCATTAGAGAATGTTTTTAAAAAGCAATTGTAATTTGCAAACTGCAGCAGCCCGTAGCAGTTGGAAGTTATATCTCTTAGCGAATGTGACACTCGCAGACTGATATCACCTTCTGCTTTAGCGGAGACCAATGGAGCAAATGTGCTGGTGTTAGGATTACAACCTGCTCTTTGAAATAGATGATGGAAGTCAAAATCTTTTATAACAATTGTCCTTTAGGCCAGCTTTGTCAACGGAAAATATAAATAAATAAATGTATAAACTACAGTACCACTGGGGTGTCTGTCAGCAAGGTTTTCAAATCCTTGAAGTTGCTTTGCACCAATGTCCTTGATCCTCGAATCTGACTAGTGAGATTCTGATTTGCCGCAAAAGCACATAGCACTCCCAGACTGTTGAAATAGGGAAGCGTGATTAGTGAAATAGCATTATAAAGCTTGTTGTTACAAGTAGGGTATTGTTATTATTATGAAGAAGTAAAAGGGAGAGTACAGAACAATAAGGCACATAAAATCACCTGAACTCAACCAAAATAGAAACATACTAAACATTTAGGCACATGTGTGGGGTCCCCATATCCGCTCCTCATGCATATTATGACAGAAGGCATGTCGGAGCAGGTAGAGGGATATCTGGAAATGCAACAGCATATTCCAATGTACTGATATACTGATATGTCTTTATAGCTGTAGATGGCAGTGTAGTGCCATGTTACTCTCTATATGTATGCTTATCTATGATACACAGGAAGCTGTTTTTTTTCTATCTATATGTTTTCCTCACAATGCTGTATACATACATGTACTGTTCTTCTAAACAAGTAAAATTTAAAGTGACATTAAAAGGCTAATACTTTTCAGTAGTTTTCAGCAGTCCCTCCAGCGCTGGTAACGGTCTCTGATCCAGCGCTGGCTGCTGTGTCTTCTGTTCCCCGCGGTGTCTGTGCGGGTGCACGCTGCCGGGCTGCTTACATTGACTTACCTTGTGTCTCTCCTCTTCTCCTGGCAGAAAATCTCTACTGTGCATGCGCCTGCCCCATGACCCTTCACAGCCGCTCGAGAATTTTTCAGATCTTCGGACCGGAGCCAGCGGCGTAGACACAGGTAAGTAAGAACCGGAAGACCAGAGACTGGTCCTTGCTCTGACTTACATTAAGCCCTTAGGTTATCCATTAGCTGCCCTTTAAAAAATGCAGTATTTTGTACTGCGGTGGACCTTCAAATGAATGCCGATATAGGTTCTTCAATTGTTTTTCTACTTATATATTAAACATTTTACACTATATAGTTTAAAGGTCATTTGTGAGGCTTTGTAGTACAAGAAATTTTCAACATACCCAAACTTAAATTGTGTTTTTATTTCCCCAAGTGTTTGTGCCTTGTGGTAGAGTTACGGAAATGAAGCCGGTGACAGTTCCATTCTAATATCACACCTGCAACCAACATTCATTAGCAGAGATCAGAAGGGAGCGTTCGGGCCGAGCTTACCTGATTAGCAGAGATGTCACAAACAGGAAGGTGGCAAAGCAGCCTCTCTGACAGTCTGCGTTCTTCTTCTGTCTCTGGTGCATCTCACCGCCACAGTTCTCACAACAGCGACACATGCAGAAGCACAGCCCCACCATAGGCATGAGCAGGAAAAACAGGACACCGAGGGCTGCTGCCACGATGAAGCCAATCCCATATTGTATTGTCTGAAACAGCAGCACAATTGCAAAATTAAATGGCTCTCGTGTATGAAAGTGTCTTAGAGAACTGTGTGTCCCAGAGGGATATTTAAAAAATTGTCAATTAGTTGTACTGAAGTGCTCATGTGCTAACAAGTGGCATGAAGATAGGAGGAGAGAAAAGAGTGGCAGAGAGATGAGCTTATCAGTCTGCTGCTTTTCCTTTCACTGTCCAATCACAGAATGGGGGAGGTACATGTAAGTGTTACTTAACACAGCAGAGAAAAGTGAGGTCTTCTGCCCTGACAGACAGGGTTGTGCTGTGTGGCAGAGCCATGTAATCTCAGGACTGGATGGACAGAAATCCAAATAATTTGGCACATATAGCTCAAATATATGTGTGTATTTAGCGGTGGAGTTCAGCTTCAGGGCCGGTTCACACCACAAAGGCTGCGTTCCAAAGCGTTCGGCCTCAGGAACACACTGGAACGCAAGCTGGCTGGCTCCCTGCGTTCAGGGGTGGGAGGGGGCATGGCCATGCATTGAAGTCAATGGCACTGCAGCCACACCCCCGTCCACAGTGCGATCGCCCGCACCCGGAACGCAGGCACATTAGTGCCTGCGTTCTGGTCCAGTGCGATCTGCAGAAATAGCGGTTGCAGTAACGCAGACTTTGTGGTGTGAACCGGCCCTCAAATCTACAATATCAAAAATGTGCAATATCAGATATGGCCCCTTCACCCTAAGCAGAGTGGCTCTAAATGTGGTATTGCTAGCACTGTAATCAGTTGGGCTGATTTGTAGTTTGTGATCATTTGGTTGTTGTAGGTGTTCTGCTATTGTCTGCACCTACCTGTAGTGGGGTGTGACCCTGCCACAGAGTGGGGCAGCCAATGGGAGAAAATTGGGAGTGTGTATGCCTCACTAGCCAATCACTAGGAGTGTCATGGCCAGTGGTGCATGCCGAGAAAGTGCATAAATACTAGAAGAATTACCATGTGCTCAGGGAGGTCTGCCCCTGGGCCTAGCCTGGGGTAGGGTGTACACAGTTGGAGAAGTTAACTAGGCCTGAAGTCTGCAGGAGCCTATGGTTCCTTTGCTCTCAGTATCCTCCCCCCGCAACCAGGAAGTTCAGGGAATGAAGGATAGCTTTACAGACCGGCAGCGGTGATGGCGGTATTCACAGCTTAGTGTGTGTGTGGGGGGGGCGAGGGACACAAAAAGGTACTGGGCGGTTTTTTATCCTAATGCAGAGAATGCATTACGGTAAAAAACGCCCAGTCTTTAGTACTACTTTAAAGAAGAACTCCAGAAAAACCTTTTATTAACCCTTGCAGCGGGGCTAGCCCTGCACTGCTTGTTTTTGTCTAGGGGCTAAAATAATAAAGTTATATTCACATCCTGTCCCAATGACAACAGCTCCCATTATTTCATATACTGGCATTGGCTGTCATAGTGACAGGAAATTAGGTGAAATCTCACCAAGTAGGTCATGGACAACAATACAAATCCTGACAGACATATTGATTCTTACCAAGTCTATCCAAAACTAAAAAAAAAGAAAAAATGGCTGTTGTACATGCATCATAAAACATTTTTCATGCTGTCACTTTATAAAAACCCCGAAAACTACGGCGGGGGGTGCGGGCAGAAACGATCGCCGCTGCTCAAATTAATACAAGTGGTCTGATCAGACCACTTGTAATAAACGAGCAGCGGCGGCGGCTCCACAATGTACATTTAGCTCTGCTTGTCCGGAGCCGGGCTGAATGTACTTTAAAACTACTCGCCCGGCGCCCGAAACTGCATGTCCCGTGCGTCGGGCGATAGGAATTCCACACCCCTGAGTTATTATGGAGGCACTTTTCTCCACTTTGTATACATGAGGCTCACCACCCAACTGTGAAAGCAGTTTAAAATTAAGGAACATGTAGAAATTGTTGGAAATGCAACAGCATATACAGGTATATGATTGTATTATTTGTGTAATTATGTCCTTTGAGCTGTAGATGGCACTGTAGTGCAATGTTAGTCTCTATGCTTATGTATGTTTATCTATGATTTACACAGGAAGTTCCTAAGCAAGTACAACTTAATTTAGCATTCCTCATTATCACAGCTCTGAAACGAAGGGCAGGGAGTGATTTGGCACTAATAAGTTATGCCAGTTTTTGTGCATTTATTCTACTTTTGCAAGGTGCCTCTCAATGTATAAGACGAATAGCAAAAGGCTTTGATGCACTACGTAACAAATACAATTTCGGCTGCCACTCTAGAAGTGCAAATAAGAAAATTAAAGAATGGTTACAGGGGTGTGGAAATTTTTTAAAAAACTACTTGTCCAAGGGCTAAAGTGGGGGCCAAATCTACTTGTCCTTCACGACAATCTACTTGTAGTTTATCTATGATTTACACAGGAAGTTCCTAAGCAAGTACAACTTAATTTAGCATTCCTCAAGGTCTTAGTGAAAACCCCATGACAACCTTGGTTGTGAATTTTTCTGTTTAATCAGTGCTTTATCTAAACACATCACCAACAAAAATAACCTGTCAGGTCACTAACCCCTGGCATGCGCAATGCAGAAGGCCCTAACCTCCCCCCAATATTTAGAACGGAGCACCACTTATGCTATTCAGCAGCCCAATACGGGAGCCTCAGAGGTCAGTAGAGGCTTTCATACTGGACAGCTAGCCTTTGACCTTTGTGGAAGGAATAAGGATTTGTGTCCTGAAGATCCTTTCCAAGCTGGGCCAGTTAGGAGATTTGTACTGCCTGTACACACTTACAGAGGACTACAGTGCCCCCCCTCACACACACACAAAGCACACTGATGCAGAAAGAGGATTTAGCTACGGGTGACGGGCCCAATAATGTCTAGCTCCATCCCTGCATAGAGAAGTACTATAACCTCTTGCAGTTGATAAGTGTAATAAATCAGTGATTTAAACTGGTAATTTTAGTTCAATTTAAACTTTATTGAGCCCTCCCCAGACACCATACACCCAGCTCTGCAGACATCTCCTTCAGCTGGATGAGAAGGTCATGAATGATTCACCACTGTCAAAAATAATTCATATTGGCAGTATAACAAATTAGTGGCAGCACTGTCTAATAGACATTTGGACACTCTCCAGACATTTTGTCTCTGTACTGTGTCATTGTTTGAATTAAGGTGATAGTAATTATTATTCTATTATTCTGTCTTGGAACCAGTTTTCTCCGTTAGTGTTCTTTATGACCTAAATCTGTGAAAAGGGATATCTTTAAAGGGGTCATCTAAACTAAAGGCTAGGTTTTCCTGTGTAACAGTCAAAAATAGGGATTGCACATGCCAGTATTAAGGTATCTACAGGGATTAGAGAATGTTCACCCAATCCAGCATTTATGATTGGATCGGGAAGCAATGTTATGTTTATATGGCCTCCACGACCCTGGCCGATGCTTCTTGGCTGAGCCTGTTCAAGATAAAATTGATTGGCCAAAATAAATTTTCCTCATCAATTACCATGGCTTCGACTAGGCCAAGCCACTGCATCCACCCCACACCTGCTTCAAACCACAAGCATGCAAGTTTGCGAAATGCAAACTCGTATGTTTTTAGAAGGATCTAGATCATTCAGTGGCCAGCATTTACATTCCTGTAACATGACATCGAGACCCTAAGTGTACCAAGATAGAGGAATAAACCATACCACTATACTGACATCAGAACATAATGGGTGAAAATAGGTTCTTAAAAAAAATCTAAACAGACTACTTTACAACACACACAGGGACCATGGGGAACAATAGTAGCCGCCCTCCAGAAGGAAGGGCAGTGTCAGCATGAATTCAGAGATGATTTGAGGATCTACAGCTGAGTGATACACAAATAAGATATATTTTTCTCAATAGTTAGGGTACTTGAATATATTTTTAAGATTTAAATCCTAAATTTAGTGTCACTTTAACCATGCATACTGACACTGCTAAATTTGGACTGGGCATCTAAGATTTAATTGCCTCTAGTCAAGAAAGGATTGAAGGTGAGAATCTGTACAAGTTTACATAATGTAATATATAAATAAAATAATGTTTACAATTTGAAAATTCCCATTATCGTTGAATTAGGTCTTGTCTCTCAGATCCACAATGCAATCTTAGACAAGGCTCAGCTATGTCTCAGAGTTTGTACTCAGTAAGAATGTTTTCAGACTTTCTGTTGGTGGGGGATATTTGGGGGTGCAGGGTCAATGCCTGCTAGATTCTGCTAACATCGTTCTTCTCAGAAAACAGCTTGCAGCAAAGTAAATGCCTCACTGAATTGCTTTGTGAACTGTTGTACCATTTTGGACCCGGTGTCTGAGGATCATTCAGCAGGGGAGAGCAAAGCTGAAGAATAATATGTAGGCTATCACTGCTGTCCACCTGTTGTGAATGCTAAAGGCCTGGCTTTCATGCTGATCCATCAATTTCAACGCGGAGTCGCTGAGCCAGAGCAAGAATGTAGGGTGTTCTGACTTCTCTTGGACATTGCTGGCTCCACACTTGCTTTGGGTCATTGACCTTGAAAATATTGAAGCCACAGCATCAGCATAACAGCCCACCAACTAGCATTCTCATGAGGAACCATAAGGAAATAAGCTGTCTTGGTAAATTAAGGGAAATTTAACATTTTGGCATTGTAGACAAATAAGCAGTAGCTCAGAATTCCTCGCCTGAATGCGTGCCGTGCATATTGTGTGTTATACAGACCCCCCTTGGGGGACCAGACATTCCAAACAAATAGCACAGGATCTCAGTTGCATCCAAAAAAATATCAAACTGACAGAGCTCTAGATGGAATCAGACATCCTAATAAAATGCTAGTGGTGTACAATGTCACTTGAAAAGATTACCTGCAAAGCTATGACAACATTCTCCGGCTGTGCCAGTCACAGCAGATGTGGAAGGCATGGAATGAAGAAGCAATAGTCTCAGCATCATATTAAAGGAATCATCAGTGAATAAAACATGAAGACATGGCAATTTGTTAAAGTAAAACTGCTCCAAAGGCTTCTGGTGCAAACAAAGCCATGAGTTTGATTCAAAAAGAACCAGTCATAATGGGGCATAAATCTGAATAGTCAGTCTTAAATAAATATAACTGTAAAAGGTTTGGGTTTTTTTGAACATTGTATAATATATCTAAAACCAAAATTTTTGTTTAGATTTGTATTGAGTAGGTAATTCTTGTCTGTCTCCCATTGGGGGGATTTCCCTTCCCTTTCTCTCTGTCCTGGAGACACAACAGGAAGGGAAAGAAGATCACTCTCACTCAAAGGTGTAGGGAAATCCATTCTTAGACACCTCGTACTGAAACAAGTGATGCCATCAAAAATAATTCCATCACTTTCTGCCCAGGTAACAGTGGATTTCGGCTTTTCCCCACTCTATACAAAATAAAAAAAGAATATATTCTTTAAAATGTAACTCCTTTTTTTTTAAGTATAACATCACAGCCACTTGAAGTCTGACATTGGCTATCTATTCACATGCAGTAGTCTCCCAAATCCTGCTATTGCATATCAATATCAAATAACAAAGCCCAATACAGGGTTGGCAACTCCAGCCCGCCAGCTGTGATTTAACTACAAATCCCATAATGCCTCTGCATCTGGGAGTCATGCCTGTGGATGTCAGTCTTGCAATGCCTCATGGGACTTGTAGTCCCACAGCAGTTGGAGGGCCGGAGTTGCCAACTCCCGGTCTAATAGTTTATTACATTCCTGTTAATATAAAGCTCAGTTATCTGATATTGTTATAGACTCTCGAATAATAGCGGACTATGTTCGAGGTCAGGAACATGATATTACAGCAGTTGTTAAACCCCAAGCGTCTGCTGGCATTCAACTTAAGACAATGATTTATAAATCGTGTATAGAGTATAGCTGAGCAAATGCTGCTCGCACCGAACTACCACCACTAGATAGTGGTAAGAAGCACAGGAATTTCCAATGCTCCTCAGCTCCCCCTAGTGGTGGTAGTGGTGTGTGTATAGAATTCACCCAGTTATACACTGGGAGTAAGATTTATAAATCAGCCCCAAAGTGTAAGGTACAAAGTAAAGGCTGCATATTCAGATTATTGCATAAGCCCAGTCAGGACAGGTTCTCCTTAAAGTGAATGTGTTACATAGGAAGCAAGTTCACAGTGTTTAGAGCAGACTATATACTGCAGAAACCTATTTGTATTTCCCGTGTTGCCATTGCTAAGTAATCAGCAGAGTCTGAGGCTCTGAACACTGTTATACACCAGAATACATCATTTAATCATAAAATAATGACAGTACTCTATGAATTTCCTACTACATAGTAACCATTATGCAGACTTTAAGAACAGAAACGTTTTACCTCATCTGACTTGTAAATTTGCCAAATCAAAGATTTATTTTCTTGGTGATAGATTCATGGTAGAGTCCAATCTTTTTAATTAAAGTAAACATTTCATGAGGAAAAAACAGATGCTGCCATTACTCCTGAGATGCTAGTTGCCTGGTTGTAATACTAAGGGGTCTATTTATAAACAATTTGCAGAGCAAGTTTCCCTGTGAATCTCAGTGAACATTCGTTTTGTGTGGATAGAGGCAAAAATGAATGTTCTTAGTGTATTTTCTTTTCAGGTCGAATGTCATGTAATGTAATGCAATGTAATACTATATTATGGTCACTAGATGGAATTCGACTGAATAATTGACTTTTGTTGAGGCAGGTGGTGCTGGCAGGGCAGCAAGATTTGGCCAAATTCAAACAGCATATGCCCAGCTTAACCTACTATTTCTAAAAAAAAGTATACCGCTGACCTGTAACAAGTATGCAAATCAGAAAAAGTCCTAATCTACATACTTGTTCCAGGCCAGATACTTAAAGCACTGAAACGGTAGGAGCAGCATATCTGCCAGGCAATTAGCATTTTCAGAAGTGGAGAGCACCAATGGTAACCTCCGAAGTTCTTTCATAAGGGCATGAATGGGCGTACACTGTCAAAAAAACGGCAAACTGTTGGCGTTCAAGTCCGGTCATTTGTCCCTGTACGGGTGTAAATGATCGGATGTAAAAGTATATGCATACAGCCACAGCCTGTCATTAAATTATAGACACTGCTGCCTACGGCTGTACAAAAATTACTTATTTATATAGCGCCAACATATTCTGCAGCACTGTACAGCTGTTTAGACAAGACAAGAAAGAAACACTGACAAGCATCATTGACATACAGAAACAGTAGGTGAGAAGAACCCTGCCCAAATGAGCTTACAATTTAAGAGGAAGGGGACCAAAGACACAGTGGAGGGGAAGGGGAGACAACAGATGTATACCAAATAAAATGTTAGGGATTTGGGAGTACCGTGAAACGGGAGCAGAAGGGAAGGTTGTATAGGGTGAGAAATCAAGGGGAGAGCTGATACGCTTCTCTAAAGAAGTGCGCTTTAAGGGATTTTTGATAGTCTTGTGGGGATGGTGAGAGCCTGATGTGGCGTGGGAGAGAATTCCATAAGGTGGAGGCTGTATGCAACAATGCAACACCCGTCACTCTCAGGTGCAGAAGTATTGGCCGGTTTTTTGGTGTACAGCCATGCACGCCCATGTGAATACATTCTAAAATGTTACATTAAAACAGATACATGTTTCAATACATTGGGACAGATAAAAAGGTTCTACTTGACTTTCATCGTCAGCTTGTTACATATCAGACCATTTCTTTTTAATTCTCTACCATTATAACATTATGCCTGATAAGCAGCTCAGCAAGAAAAGGAAATCAATCATTGTTGGCAAATTAAACAACATCTTGTAAACTGTTAAAAAATCCACATTCTACTTTTATTTTATGTTGCAGGTCTCTTAGACTTGTTCCATTATCTCATTGTGACACCAACTGCTTGCAACCTAATGTGTGTTGGTGTCTCATTTGGTAACCATCGTGTCTCAACGCCTTATACAACAGACTTCAGATTGCTGGGTGATTTATCAGTATTCTATTCAGGTACCAAAATATTAACTATACATTGTAATTCCCCTAAACACTGCTTACAGCACATATAAACCCAAATACAATTACACTTAGTATACTAAAGAATTGTGTACCATAAACAATTGCCATCACTAGAAGTAAAACGCAGTTTTCACTTTTTGCATATCAGTACTGCTGATCACCTCTCTGCAGTCATTTCCTGTCTAAACATGAATGAAGACTAAAAAGAATGCCAGGAGTCCAAAAACACCTTCACAAATGGTGAAGGAGATATACACAGCCAATGTGTTTCAGGGGTCAAAACCCCCCTTCAGCAGGGCTCAAACAATAGACAGTGGATCACTGGTGGACTCTAAACTTACAACCCTGCAGACAATCCTATTTCTCAGGCAGGAGTGGAAATATTTGGTGCGAATAGATATTTACTGGCAGTTCAGCATTTGTACAAGTGCTTACTTGTTTTTTTGGACTCTTGAGACGATTACCTGGCACTCTTTATTAGTCTACATTCATATGAAGTTCTCATTCTGGGTGTCCCCTCCATTTGGAGGGGACACTCCATTTTGCTCCTATTAGACTAGAGAAAGGTTGTGGTCCAGCACCTCACCCCCACATCCCCAGTGCTCCATGTCATTTTTGTGAGCAGGTTTCCCGAGGGTGACAACAGTGGACCATGCTTGTGCAATGTACTGCTTGTTGTCTACATGGGGAAAGCATCTGACACCAATGAGCAATTGGGAGATATGGACATAACGCTGTGTCTCTAGACAAGAAATGTCTGCACAAGGAAAAAGAACAAATTAGCTGCAGCAAAGCCATTCCCCACCTCGCAGCCGCATGTAAACAAAGGGACGGTGAGATCATGGACCTTATATTGTCATATAAAAGAAATGATGTCATTAGCATCCCGCCCCTTTGTTTACATGCGGCTATGGGGCACAGAATGCCCTGGCTACAGCTTATTTGACGTGACCTGATAACTACTTCCCAGGTTTGAATGAGCTCAGTTACAGACTAATCCCAAACTAATCCCTAATTCCAAAAATACATTGAAGCAAGGTTTATGAAGCATTGGCACATACTGATGACAATTTTTAGCTGAAGCTCTCTTTTATTTTACATGTATATCTAAAAATAATTGAAAGGACTGTGCATGACCTTCAAGAAGAACATTGTAACAAGTATTTTGGTCTCCAAGTCTTTCTGCTTTTGGGATAATCTATGATGTTGTAAAGTTTTGATTATTCTTTTATACAGAGAGATGTGAGTCAGACTGTTTTAAATAGAATCATTGTGATGAAATAAACTCTTCACGTTAAAGACATAAGAACATCTATCTATAGGCTGCAGGCTCTGCGCTGTCTGTGCATGATTTCAGGAAAGTACCACACACAGGATTTAAAGCAAGCCGCACCACCTCACTTATTTTCATCTTTAAGAACTTTATTGCCCCTTGGATGAGCAGGGCATACACCGGGTCATGAAGTTGTACTTCCTTCTCTTTTATCAGCTTTGCTACTTCCCAGTGTTATGTCGACACAATACCTCCCCCTTTACATTTCAGACAACCCCCCTGCTATGGACAAAAGGGTTGTGAGGAAGGCTGTGCAGTCAAGTGACCAATGAATAAAACTTTAAATAATAAAACAATAAAACATTTAAAAAAAAAAGGAAATATGTTTTAAAAAGTAAATTCAAGTAGCGTTAAACAATAGTATTTACTGTATTGAAATTGGATGCTATAGTACAGGATAGCTTTGCCCTTAGTTTAGTGAATGGGGTGAAACTCTGCTGACTTCCATCATCCAATCATTTGCAAGCAAAAATACTTGCTCATGATTGTGTATTCTTTGCAAAGTGAAATTTCACCACATTCACCAAGTTGAGGGAAAATTCCCCTTCAATGTGCATATTCCCTTGCAAAGTGAACAGCATATTTGCCCTTAGTAAATCATCCCATTGCCTCTGAGGTGTAGTCCAACATATCTCTAGTTTTTGGAAATAGCTTGTTTTTAACAAGATTGAATGTAGTGTATTGACCAATCTCTGAGAGTTAAAGTGATGCTAAACTCAGGAGTTAAATCTTAAAAATGCATTCAAGTACCTTAACTATTAACAAAAATTTATTTTATTTGTGTATCACTCGGCTGTAAATCCTTAAATCATCTCTGAATTGGAGCTGACACTGTCCTTCCTTCTGGAGGGCGGCTACTTTTGTTCCCCATGGTCCCTGTGTGTGTTGTAAAGTAGTCACCGCTCCAGGCTCACTCTCATGATGAACTACAATCTCATGTTTAGTTTACTAATTTGTTTTGTGATTGTAGTCCATCACAGGAGAGATCTTGGAGCGGTGACTACTTTACAACACACACAGGGACCATGAGGAACAAAAGTAGCCACCCTCCAGAAGGAAGGACCGTGTCAACACCAATTCAGAGTTGATTTGAGGATCTACAGCGGAGTGATACACAAATAAGATACATTTTTGTTAATAGTTAAGGTACTTGAATGTATTTTTAAGATGTGACTCCTGAGTTTAGTGTCACTTTAAGCTGGCCATACACCAGTAGTATTTCATTCTAACATTTTCATTTTCGGAATGTTCCTTCAATTTTCTAATGTTTGAATTTCCAATGGTTAGTGGGGGTCTAACTGGCAATTGTTTTCGACCATAGTAAAACCAGAGTAGTTTCCAATTACCTTTTGATAGTCACTGCGTGACGAGCCAAACTTCTGTACTGCTATTCGCTTCACTAAATCTGAAATGTACAAATGAAAAGGACATCAGAATGATATCATAGTTTAATAAAATATAGCACATACTCATAATATTTGTCTTCTGATTCTTAGACTATTTTATAACAGAGACATCAAAATACTCTTGGGGTGATGGTGGGCTATAAGTAAAAAAAAAAAATATGTTAGCCATAGCAACCAATCAATCTTTTTTTCCAACGCAATTTTTTTTTCCTATGTGTTTTCCAGGTGCTGTGTTGATGTAACAGTCAAGTCTGCATACCACTGTGCTTATTGAACTCACATTGCAAAGACAGGAGGCAATTAGCATGTCTCCTGTTGATGGAAAGGATACAGTGCAGATCCCTAAATTAAAGGTCACACGCATGCTGCTGCAGCTTTCATGCAGTACAGTCTCAGAACAACTTACCATTTACTAGAAGGTGCATTTTGTAGAAACCTCCCCAAAGATGCAGAAAGCAGGATTTGTTGTTAATAATGCCTCACCCCTACCTTGACCCTAAAAGCAGAGTTGTAAAATACATTCTAAGGGGAATGCAAACTACAACCCAGTGGCGGTTTAAGGGGGGGGGGGGCAAGGGGGCAATTGCTCCCGCCCCCCCTGAGAAAATGACTGCTCCCTTCCTTCGCCACCACTCTGCCAGGCCCAGCCAGCTGCACCAAGCAATCAGGGCCCGAAAGCAGAGGCTGCACTGTAGTCAGGCAATTAGGTGGCCACCTCAGCCCACGCCAGGTGAGTGCTGTACCCCGGGGGGGTAGAGGGGGAAAGCCTGGGGTCAGTGGACACAGAGGTGGTAGTGGGAGAGGAAGGAGGTGGACATAGTGGCAGTGGACACAGAGGTGGCAGTGGGAGAGGAGAGAGATGGCACAGTGGTAGTGGAAGAGTCAAAGGGGGTGCAGTGGACACAGCGGTGGCAGTGGGAGAGGAGAGAGGTGGCACAGTGGCAGTGGGAGATAAGAGAGGTGCCACAGTGGCAGTGGAGGAGTCAAAGGGCGAGCAGTGGACACAGCAGTGGCAGTGGAAGAGCCAGAGGGGGGCAGTGGACACAGCGGTGCAGTGGGAGAGGAGAGAGGTGGCACAGTGGCAGTGGGAAAGGAGAGAGGTGCCACAGTGGCAGTGGGAAAGGAGAGAGGTGCCACAGTGGCAGTGGGAGAGAAGAGAGGTGACACAGTGGCAGTGGAAGAGCAAGAGGGGCAGTGGACACAGAGGTGGTAGTGGCGCAGGAGAGAGGTGGCACAGTGGCTGTGGGAGAGGAGGGAGGTGGCACAGAGGCAGTGGGAGAGGAGAAAGTGGCACCGTGGAAGTAGAAAAGCCAGAGTGGTTCAGTAGACACAGAGGTGGTGGTGGGAGAGAGATGGGCACAGTGGCAGTGGAAGAGCCGGAGAGGGGTCAGTGGACAAAGAGGCAGTGGTGGGAGAGGAGAGAGGTGGGCACAGTGGCAATTGAAGAGCAAGAGGGGGGTCTGTGGACACAGTGGTGGTGTTGGGGGGTTGAGAGGTGGACACATTGGCAGTTGAAGGGCTAGGGGGCAGTGGACTCAGAGGTGGTGAGGAGAGAAGAGGGATGTGGGCACAGTGGCAGGTAGAGGGCCACCCAGGGCTAGCAGCAGTGAGAGGATCGCAGGGGGGGGAGGTCAGGTAAGCTCTGTGCCTCATAGCCAGGATGAGGAGTCAAGTGAGCTCTGTACCCCAAACTGGGATGAGAAGTCAAGTGAGCTCTGTACCCTATAGCTTACACGAGAAGCCAGGTGAGGCCTGTGCCCCTTAGCTAGGATAGGAGGTCAGGTGAGTTCTGTTCCCCGTAGCTGGCAAGGGAGGTCAAGTGAGCTCTGTACCCATTAGGTAGGATTGGGGGTCAGATGAGCTCTGTACCTCATAGCTGGCATAGAAGATCAGGTGAGCTCTGTACCCAAAGCTGGTATTGGAGGTCAGGGGAGCTCTGTACCCCATAGCTGAGATTGGAGGTCAGGTGAGGTCTGTACCCCCTAGCTGAGATGAGAAGTCAGGTGAGGTCTGTACCCCATAGTTAGGATTGAAGGTCATGTCAATGGCGGATCCGAAGGGGAGGACAACAGGGCAATTTTCGCAGGGGGATGCGGGGGACATTTTCATGAAAACCTAGGAGCAGCCCATCAATGAGGAACAGGCGTGGGGCCATGTGCGGTGTTTGCAGATGAAGCAAAGTTATGTAATATTCCCCAGAAAGTGGCATTGCTTAGTCAGCGGACAGAGCCTCTACTGTGTGGAAGGTAATCCATGGAAAATGTATAAACTTAACACTACATACAAAATGAGAGACAATGTGACAAATGCTCTTCGTAGGAAATGTATTACTTGCTACTCTCTTTCCTTGATAGCTGCAATATCTGTTAGCAAATATTAGCAAGTACCTGTCACCAGATTGTGTCTACACTTTAGTGTTCAGCATTGAAGCAATTCCAATGAAAGTGCTGGCATACTATAACAATACCCTCTGCAGCAGCTGAAGAATCCCCAGGGGGTTAGTGAGATCCAAATCTCCAGACTAATGTAAAAGCAGCAACAAGGATTGTCTGGCAAAGGGAAGTAGTTCTTATTCAACAGGCGTTGACATCAGATTCCTTGTAGTTACAATCTGGGTCTTTATAGTCCTTGGCACTGTCAGGAATATTGCTATGTAGATTTTGATATTATTGACAGCTAAATATATATATATATTAATGCAAGTGGTTCCCTGGGCAACCTACACCCCTCCAAAAATATAAATTCTGATTAAATAAATGACATCAAAGTTTTATAACACTCCCTGTCAACCATTGTTCAAATGTGGCAGGGAGGCTTCTTGTTACATTGAGCCTGTCTGTTAGGAAGTTCCTCCTACACTACATAGAGAAGAACTTCATGACATGACCCTTGACATTTCTTATGCTATCCCATCTAACAGTACCTGTGTGTAAAGGCCGTTCAAGCATCAAGCTTTGTTGATATCAATGAATGATGGGATAATGGTCAGATGTCATGGAGACCAGACCTCTGAATATAAAGTAAATTTTTCACACAGAGTTTTCATAGCTTCCCATTGCCAGACGAGAGAGAGAGAGAGAGAGAGAGAGAGAGAGAGAGAGAGAGAGAGAGAGAGGAAACGAGAGAGATGCGCTCTATATTCACA